ATCAGGCAGAATTGTACAAGATTCTGCTCATTTGTCATTTATTTTCAAAAATGTTAAACAAGCTATCACCAATAGAATCCCCACATTCTTCCTTTACCCTACCTCCATTCTCTTGTAATGACTTCACTGCCTCTGTAAATTGAATTATGTTTTTATTGGGTGTGAAAAATTTTTAGAGGCACTGAAGATTAGAAGACTGGTTTGAAAATGAGTTTCTTTGCCAATGCACTAAGTTAATCTGAGTTATGTCCTTCCCTCACATGTTCATCTAGAGCAGAGTTGGCAAACTTTTTCTATAAAGGGCTAGAGAATATTTTAGGTTTTGCATGCCAATGTGTCTGTTGCAGGTCCTCAACTGTGCCTTTGTAGTGTGAAGGTAAATGGGTATGACTATGTACCAATAAAACTCTATTTATAGACAGTATCTCTCACTATTTATCCAGAGGAGATACAAATTGCTAGGCACCTGTGGCTCTCTGGACACACAGGCAGGGCAAACTCTAGCAGCCTGAGGCCAGTCCCCCAGTAAGTGACAGAGTGGCCAATTGTTGGGAGGAAATGCCCAGGGTGTCTGAGGGGATGGGGCAGAGTAAGGTAGCATTTGCTACATGCACTGTGGAGGGAAACATGCAGCCAACTTTAAGTCAGGTTATCTGGGCTTGAATCCTCATTCTACTAGCTATGTATTTTAGTCACGTCACTCAATCTGAGATTTAGTTTTCTTGGCTTTAAAATTGGGAGACCTACCTCATGAAGGATGTTTAAAGGATTAAATATGATTGCATGGTAGCAGAATAGGGAAAGAATAGGGAAATGGGCAGAGGGAATAGCATGGAGAAATATAGTCTTAAAAAGAGTGCTTAATGTTTAGTATACAGTATGGCTGGAGGGCAGGGCATGTGAGCTGTAGGTATGGGAGTGGAAATGGGGTCTTCTGGGGACACTTAGGAGGGAGGCCTAACCTCTTTTTAGAAGATCAAGGAAGTGATACCTACATTGAGGTCCAATGCAGGGGGAGGATAACTGGTCAATATGGTGGACTGAACTGAAGTGAAAAATATCCCATCCCACTTCAAACATGTACAGATGTAGGAAAAAAATACAACAGAATGAGTATAACAGGAAGGCAAACTCAAAGCAAGGAAGATGTGGTAAAGATGGCCACAGATTCTTTACTACTCTTGTTGAGAGATGGTGACTACATATAACATGAAACACAAACTTTGTCTCAACTGAAAAGAGCAAGATCTACTATGTATGAGACACACAATTTGCTAATGTGGGGAAATGGCTTGTGAGCTTTGCTGGGTCATCACATAATGGATCAGAAGCTAGAAATTCAACACTTCTTACTCAGTTCCAGTATTGAATGCCTACGGTGCTCCGGTTTGTGAAATGGTGTTTGATGCTGTTGAGAGCACTACAAACACATTAAATTTTTTACAATGAAAGATTTATCAAAGTCTGATAACTGTCAACACACACACACACACACACACACACACACACACACACACACACACACACCAATGCTATTGATAACAGAAACAATATGCAATCAAAGAGGAAGTTCAACTGGGTCCATAATGCTTCTTTAAAAAAAGATCCAAAGCAAATATGAAAAATGTTCCCATTTGCAATTTCTGGGTATAGGTGTTATATTATCCTTTTCTTTTTTCATATTTACATAAACAGAAAGTACATCACTATGAAGTGAATTTGCTGACACATTCTCCTTTGTAAAATCTTCAAGGCTTTCCTGTAGCTTCTTTAGTAGTAAATGGGTAGAAATTCATGAGGGAACGAAGATTCAAGCTTTTGCATGGATTCACATGATTGAGAGAGTTCCTGACCTATTAATTGGCCCCTAAGTGGTATGCCATTACTTGGATATCTAATTCTATCTTAACAGGCCTGTTGGATCTTTCTGGAGCAGACTGACTGCAGTGTTAAGTCAGGCTCTGAGGAATGCTCTTGTACCTGAAGGAAATCCTACAGGGTAGATAGCAACAGGCTTGCATTAAAAGCTTCTCCCATTTACTGGATGAATAGAGGTTAAGGGGTAGTGCTCATTCTCTGTTATAGGAAATCAGGCCAATTTATGATGTCGTGGCAAGGGATTACTTCTCAGGGCTCCTCACCCTGGTCATTACTTAGCACGAGGTTTCCCAAAGTATGTTCTCAAGAGCACTAACCCTGTGGAAAGCCCACAGAAAATGAAACGAAACCAAAACCAAAAGCTAAAAGGTTGCATAGTCAATACAGTTAGGAAGTATTGAATGTGTAAGAAACAGCTTGCTTTATCTTATCCAAGAAGGGATAGTAGGATTCTTTCCCAAATTTATTTGTGTTTTAGAAAGGTACTTGATCACAATAATATCTTGTCAGTACTTTGAGAAACACACTCTCACGAGATTATCTCTGATTTTTAAAATCCTTGAGCAAGCCACAGAGCAAGCTGGTGTTTCTAGAAGTCATGCTGATAACTTCAGGCAAGCTCTCCTTACCTTCCAATTCCCTGGCTCTCAAAGGCTGCTCTGTTATCTCCAATTCCTCGCTAGCCGTTTCTGGATGCTACAGTAGAAGAGCAGTGCCTCCTGTTTCTTTTCTTTCCTCTGTTTCTTGAAAAAAATAAAAGAGAGACAGATTATATAACCTTGGACTTCCCCTGAGTGTTTTGCTGGTATTCAAAAGTATTCTTCAGCAGCTGGTGAGTGGCTTTGTTGAGGCATCTCACGTTTTAGATAAATGGGGTTCCTTACTCTTTCTATGAATCCACTCCTATTTTCTCACTGGCTTACATAACAGTTTCAGATGGCTGTTGAGATGTACTAGTTCCTGACGAATCAGTCTTAAGCTTCATTGCTTCCTCTCACTTTCCCCCAATGTTCTTTGCTGTGTACTTAATGATCGACAAGCAAGTATTTAGAAATTTGAAAGGCAACCCAACAGGCCTACTTTAGGAATCCTTTTACAAGCCGAAGAGTCCTTTCAAAATGTAATTCTTCAACAGGACAGACTAGAAAGTCCTGAAATAAACCCAAACACATACTACATATGGGAATTTGGTATATGCTCAAGGTGGTTGTTCACATTCATGTGGAAGAGACAGTTGAATAAGTGGTGTTGTGGTAACTAGGTAGAAATCTAAAAAAAAAGTAAAGTTGAATCTACAACTCACACCTGATCCCAAGTAAATTCCAGATGGATCAGAGTTTTAACATACAAACGACTTTAAAAAACCCAAAGTGTTTCTGTGACCTGTTTTTTGAGCTGAAGTAATACCTGCTAGGCAATGTCCTTGTAAGTGACAGGCAACAACAAAATTGTGGAAACTGATTGGAAGAGTGGGAACCACCTCTTTACTGAGGCTGGGAAATGGTTTGGTTAAGCAGAGGAGAGAAAAGCTCAAGGATGTTTGATATCTACATTTTGCCATGACAATACGAGCTATTAAGTTTATCATGTGATCAAGTGACAAACTTGGGGGAGTAGGAGCCCTGATGGAGACTGATGGGAGAGATGTTTGGATGTATATGGTGGGCCCACATTGTAGAGGATTGTGAATGCCGGGAAGAGCTGAAGCATTTCCCCTTGATTCTGTTTGTACTGGGGCTTGTGAGCTAGCGTGCAGGCTTTCTCTGCCTCAGCACTAGTGACATTCTTGGCCAGATGATTCCTTGTTAGGGGGGCTGCCTGGTGTGTCCCAGGCTGTTTAGCAGCATCTCTGGCCTCTCCCTACTAGAGGCCATTAGCGTCTCCCTCTTTTCAAATTGTGACAACCAAAAATGTCTCCAGACATTGTCAAATGTCTTGGGGAGGAAAAGTACCACTGATTGAGACCCAGTGAACTCTAGAATGACAGAATAATTGGCGTTTAAGAAGGGCCGTCAAGCTGTGGTTGTGTAGAATGAATGGGCAGTCAGCAGGACAGTAGCCTGAGAGAATGTCTTAGAGGCTGCACCAGTCCCCAAAGTATGGTAAAATGTTACTTAAGGGCCTTCCACAAAGCACATCTCCCTGTATCCAGGACTTTGTATATTTTCCTCCCACATTGACTTAGAGCTTGGCCATATGACTTACTTTGATCAGTGGAATATCAGCAAGCATGACAGAAGGTGAGACTTGAAAAGCATTGGTGCTTTGGGACTTACCCTCCTGGAACACTGCCACCATGTGACAAACCCGAGCTAGCCTCCTGGAGACACATGGCCCAGCTATCAGCCAGCCCCAACTTCCAGACAGAAGAGTGAGGCCCTCTAAGGCCATGCAGCCACAATAAGCCCCCATGACTACATGATGTTGGACAGGCCAGCAGGAAAAACACCTACCTGAGTCCTGCCCAAGTCGATAACAAGGCAATTATGAACAAATAAAATGGTGAAATCCTTAAGTGTTGTGTTGTTATGCAGTGATAGATAAGTGGTATAGTAAGTCTGTAATAGATTAATATCAGTGGAAAGGAGAAGATGTTTGGAATAATTTGTGTTTCTTGATGACTCTTCAGTGAAGGGACTCAGTAAGAGGACAAAGCAGGTCAAAGAATATAAGAAATGAGAAATGAGTGCAAAGGTCAGAGTGAATTCAGGAATGAAGTTGCATGAGCAGTCTTCGAGGAAGCACTTATGCTGAGCAGTCAAAAATATTACCCCATCTATTTTGAAAATAGATATTTATTAATTACTAAAGCATAATGATAATAGTATTTCAAATGTTTAGTTTAACAAGTATATTTGTAAAGCTTTAAAGGCATTACCAAGCTAGCCACTTTTTACTTGATGGAATAATAATAGTATTTCATAATAGTATTGATATTATTGAAAACACATAAACTCATAATAATAATCTATAGTGCACTAATGATAAAATTCATTTCAACATATTAGTTAGCCACTTGCTTAGAATTATATTCACTTAGCAAGTAGATTGGTTAAGACCAGGGCTTCTAACGGAATGTCTTCCATAATTTACCAGTTAAATTTACAGATGGTCATTATCAAGGGTATTTACAACTTGATAGGTGCTATGAATGTTGATTGTATTTAGTACTTTTTGTACTACTAGTCAAGAAGAAATAGTTCCTCAGATGTTTAGCATTTAGCTTTATGTTTAAGAACACTAGCCTGAGAGACCATATAGATCAAATCCTCCACTTTATTTGTATCATGTTAAAAAAATCAAAATCATAGCAACAAAAAGAATCCAGAATGTGATAAAATATTCGTAAAGATATTTGTAAAGAAATACAGTCATACCTAAAACAAATGGCAGTCAATGAAAGAAAGTCTAAAAAGTGGAGGGAATGGATAATATGAAATAAAGTAAAAATAACCCCCAAACATTTTCACAGGCTACGGGAATCACAGAAGGGAAAAGATATATGTCTATAACAGAGTGAGGGTCTCTTTAAAATAGAAGGACAAGAATTTTAAAGAAAAGATCAAAACGGGTGAATTTTAAATATTGTACCCATTAAGCAGTCAGTATTAAACAAAAGCATTGTTGAAATAAATGTTTTAAGATCAAAGGGTGTAAATTTCCGTACGATTCGTTTAAAGAAAAAAGCTACCTCAGTCTTTGTTTAAATGTTGCTGCCTGACAAGGATTTTGTGATTAATTTTCTCTCAGGTTGAGGAAACAAGAATTGAACAAAATCATTTGGATGTGGGGTCTGGAAGATATATGTAATTTTCAACGTATGTTACTCATTGGACGAACATGGGTTAAGGAAAGCCAGTAAAATCAGAGAATGTTGTCTTATGGTAAGTCTTGACTTTTGGTTTGTAAGAAAACTTGCATATACAGTTAACTAACTTTCTGGAATTAAAGGAGAATAAAAGACACATAACGTTAACCTATGTGGACTCCTCCCCCTACCTTCCTTTTCTCTTTCTGTGCAGTTAGCTTCCCACGCTCGTGTCAGCTCTTGGGTTTCTCAGAGCAGTGTTTTCTCAGAGGGGCCTTGCAACGCTACTGTTGTACCCCGAGTTCCAGCCGGGTTCCCCGCTCCAGGAGCCCCAAACCCAGGCTCCGGCCAGCTCCTGCACCGAAAGCACCGCTGGCTTACGGGGCGTGGGAACCGGAGGCGCGGGCTCCCCTCCCGGCTGGGCGGAGCCGGGCCGGTTGGGGTAAAGGGGCCAGGGCCGCTCCGCAGGGCCTCAGGCGGGGGTGGGCGCTGCTGCGCTGCACGCGCAGTCAGGAACGCAGTCACATCGCTCCCGGGCCGCGAGGGGACGACCGGGGGTCCACGCGGGGCCAGCATCGGGGCGCGCCGGCACGCCCAGGAGCCTCGCCCCGCCCCGCCATTCCCGCAGGTGGCCGAACCAGCCAGACCAGCCGAGCGCGCCCCTGCTCCCGGCAGCAGCAGGTGGCCCCGGACTTCCCGCTTCGCCGCAGCAGGGCGGGCAGCGCGCCCCGTCGCGCCCCAGAGCACCCCCAGCTACCCGCGCCCGGCGGCATGGAGGCGGACGGGGTCCGGGAGGAGCTGGCCCGGCTGCGCTCGGTCTTCGCTGCCTGCGACGCGAACCGCTCGGGGCGCCTGGAGCGCGAGGAGTTCGGGGCGCTGTGCGCGGAGCTGCGCGTGCGGCCGGCCGACGCCGAGGCCGTTTTCGAGCGGCTGGACACCGACCGCGACGGCGCCATCACTTTCCAGGAGTTCGCGCGCGGCTTCCGCGGGTTCCGCCGCGGGGGGCGGCACCGGGCCTGGGGGCTGCGGGAGCCCGCGCCGGCCGGGGCCCAGGCGGGGCTGGATTCCGGGGACAGCGAGGAGAGCGAGGGCGATGAGGACGCCACGGCGGCGCTGGCAGCACCCTGGGACCCGGCGAGCCCTGGCCGGGCTTGGCAGGACTTCCAGGCGCGACTCGGGGACGAGGCCAAGTTCATCCCCAGGTGCGTGAGCGGGTAGGAGGGCGGGGGGGAAGAAGGTGTTCCCGTCGCTCTGTGCGTTGCCTTCTCTCCCTGTTAACCCGCGGAGTGGGCCGACCCACTGGACCCTACTCTTCCCTGGGAGCTGCTTTGCTCCAACCACCACCTCCAACTTTTGCAAGAGAGATCCGGAGACATGAGGAGAGGGAATGCGCTCATAGGCAGGGTTTGGGAAGAAAGTTTCACATGGCTATTTCTGAGTCCCGCAAAAAGCACTTTGTTAATTTCCTGGGGCCTGAGTGAAACCGCAGCATCTGGAGATTTTTCCGGGCACGGGTTTGGGAGCGCTGTCCACGTCCTTTCTGACCCCGTGACGCCACCTTCCACACCAGGCCTCCTCTGCACCCGGAGCAGCGACCTGGGCCCTCGGCCAACTCTGCAGCCTCTGTAATAGTTTTTGCATATGTTGTTTTTCTATGACTACCTAGAAAACGAGACACTGTTGGCATTAAATTACTGTACACAAATATTCGCTGATATCTACTGTGGGCTAGGTGTTTTACCGAGTTCTTCTGTTTAATTTTCAGAACAATCCTGGGAGGTAGACTTTCTTATCTCTGATTGATGGAAACACTGAGACCCCAAAATTTAGACCTGCAAGACGTTAAGGAACTTGCCCTGTGAATAAAAGAGCAGGGATTTGATCCTAGATGTTGTGAACTGAAACACTTTTGCTTCTTATACAATCGAATAAAATAAAACCATGCAGTAAATTCTTTACTCCTATGACTTGGACAGAAATGATGTATTAATATCCTTACTAACTTAATTCTCAGGGGCAAAAGGGTTGCCTGCAGATTCAGAGCATGAAGGGAAAAATACTGAGCTTTTATTCTTTGAGGTTAATTTGTGTCTATCCATGCCTAGGTGTCATCATGTGTCTCCAGCTGCTACTGTCATTTCTTCCTCAGGCACTACCAACATGTCAGTGCTGTCACATGTTCTTGTGCTCTGTGGATTTTAGTTGAGATTTTATGGTTCTCTGGCTGTGATTGTTGAGAAGATCTGAAAGGTATCATTTTGGTTGACAATTCACCTGCCTGAGACATAAGACTCAGGAAAGGTAATAGCCCTGGAAGACACCTGTGGCCTTGCTCACCCATTAACAGTTAGACCTGCAGGGCTGGGAGTCCTCACTTCCTTCTCCGCTCAGGTGTTCCCTCAGGTTTGGAAAGTCAGGAACACGGGGCACAGACAGTGACTCACCACAGTATGACAGGGATTATGTAGAGAAAGTGGGTGTGATACCCATCTTCTCTATTATTGACAAAGGAATTACCATGCACTGTCTCTAGGGAATTAGAACAAGTTCAACATTGCTATAAACTCCACTCTTTCAATCATCTTTCATCTGTAAGTTGGTTCGGGTCCAGCTAATTAAGAAAGGTAATAAGGTAATTAAGTATAGGAATAAGGAAAGGTGAGCCCACAGGGTATTTTATACACATGCACACACACATGAACCTACTTTGCACAGTTGTGAAGTCTCAGCACTGACTATTTGACACTTAACCTTTAAATGATTAAAATGACCTTCTTAGGATCAGTGTACAAACCAGGACTTAATATTATTGGTGACATTGTTATTATGATGTCTCTCCAAACCCTTCAGAGGTTATTAATTTAATGGGCACCTGTGTCACCTGGTAGACCTGTGTTTTAAGCCCTACCCCCTTCTGATTCAAGATTAACAAATATAATATTTGCCTTCCTGTACTTGTTCAATTGGAAAAGAACTAAACTGAGTTCCTTTGGCTGATTGTTACCATGACAGCCATGGACTGTTTTGGTAAATTGGATTGCTTCTGCTCCACTTCCGCATGCAGCTGTTCACCTTCCCTTTCTCCCATCCAGATGTGATAAAAAATCTTTTGGCGATTGACGATGCTGTTGCCATTATTTCAGCCAAATTAACTCTGCAAACATTGTTGAGTGCCTGCTGTGTGCCAGACACTGTCGTAGGTACTGCCCTAGGTTCCTGGGGATAATGAGAAGGATGAGCTGTATTCATGCCCTCAAAAAGTTCATAGCATGGGTGAAACGTTTCTCAACAATGTCATCAAATAACATTTTAAAGGTAAGAGGGTTATGTGCAGGAAATTCCATATACTGTGGACATAGCCCAACAGACTGCTGTAAGCAGGAGCTTTTTGTAAAGTCTTGAGTGAAAAGGTCATGTATTTGCTCATTTTGCTCCATAATATATTTGGGCTTGTTTTAATATAAAATATTATATTTTCTTCCAATGAGAAAATTGTTCATCCAAGAAGGTATTTCATCTGGGGGCTTTGTTTCCCATCTGACACTCCATCTTACCCCTGGTAGCATCCCCCATGCCTATCTCCACGGGTATCCGTGTCCAGTTTGAGAAGGACATATATTCCATATAAGAATGTTTGGTTCTTGTAGAGGCAAAATATGATTGTATTGACAGGATTTCCATTTCAAAGATATTCAAACTCTTAGTTCAAAATATTAAGCAAGTTTAGGTTAAGCTTGGCATTCCTCAGTAATTGTGATATTAGAGGGACGATAATATTGTATTGTGAAGGGATGAAATGGTCTCTGGGACGTGTGTCAACACATTCATAGTTTGGCTGCATGGGGAAGGGAGAGGAGAGATGGAGGCAGAGAGAGGTCAGCAAGGGGACAGGGCTAGAGACATGGAGTGAGGGAGGCCAGGGTGAGAGGAGGGGAAAGACAGAGATCAACAGGCAGACAGACTGATGGCTTGACTGGACAGTGCCTCGGTTTCCCGTCTCTTCCCCCTCAGTGAGTTTATGGCCCGGAGTCAACTTGAGATGGAAGAGGCAAAGCCACTCTGCTGTGTTTGATCTCAGCTCTTGAGTATCTTCAAAATGTGAGCATCTTGGTTTGGATCATTCTGGTAGTGTTCAAAGATAAATACATATTTTTTTTCATTCATATGGCCAAGATCTGGTGCTCATCCAAGGAGATGAAGATTTGTTCCAGCCTTGGGGCATAATGGTGGGTTGGACCCCAGTACTGGAAGAAGGTTAAGGGTGTTTTTGGCTATGTGTGGTATTTATGTTTGGTACTGGCTTTGGGACCTGTCAGTGTACCAGCTGCAGGCTTTCCAGAGACTGCCTGCCTTTTCTGGGTTCAGAACTGGGGTGTAGGTATATATCTACTTCTCTTTATTTTCTGTTGCTGGTCTGTTGCTGTTTTTTTCTCTTTACTGTATTTCTGTCACAGCTGTGTGCATCTTCACCCTGCTGCTGAGTGAGAGAAACCTGTCAGGAAACCACACTCTGCCTCGCACCTTCTGAGCCTTTCTCCTGGGCATTGCAGGAGTCTGTATGGCTTAGCTTCTATTCTGTGGATTTTACTTGCTTGTGGTCCTTTTTGGTTCTGGTATTTGAATTTCATCTCAAGGTAGTAACTTCTTTTTGACTTCCTGACTGCAGAAAGGTATTCTGGCCTTCCCGATCTTAAGAGGATGATCAGTTTTGGCCATATAAGCAGTGGTCTACTCTCTCAGATGTTGCTGATTATTCAGAGCTTTACTGTCAGGTTTTGATGAGAGACTCTTTACTCTGACCTTATGGTCTGGGCCAAAAGAAAAAGGCTTATTGTGGGGTTTCACTGGGAAGACTACACTTCAAAAACCACAGACTCTCCTCTAGCTTGTCTTTGAACCTGAAATTTTGATTTATGCTTTTCCAAAATCACTGTTCAAATTCATGATCATACTACTCCTTTCACTGAGCATGTAACAATCTTCACCTGTTTGATTTCTACCTGGGGTATATGTAAAATGTAAAATGGAAGTAGCTGCATTATGCTAATCTGCTTTGTTGGGAGGTTTGGAGGCTGACAGACCAAATGAGAACCTTTAGGTGGTAGGAGAGGCTAGAATGCCATGGCGACTCAAATGCCTGTTTTTATTTTTCTCCTGTGATTGTACATACAATGCACATTCTTGCTTCATGTATAAGTTGTTAAAGATTAGGTAGCACCTGACTGCAGAATGTAGTTGGAAAGAAGAAATGGGAAGAGACTAATTTATCATGGGTATTCTGCTTATCCTTGGGTAATCTGCTTATACAGGGGTCATCTGACTTTATTAGTCTCCTATTGGGTTATGAAGTGGAAAGTAAACACTCTTTCACAGAGGGAAGTTGTAATGGTGGAATTAATGTATGACACATGATTTCCTTGGAATTAGTTATTCAGAAAAACAACTTTGTTGCTTCAACTTTTAAATATTTGGGCTCTTACAAATTATAATTGCTTTTGTCAGAGTAATAAAAAGAGAAGAGTGAAATTTTGTCTTTAGGGTCCTAGACCATATGTCCTATAAAAATGAGATACAGATTTTGCAGTAGCTCAAACATGTTTCTTTAATCTTTTCTCTAACTCACTTAGTGTCCTAGTCACAGGAGAGGCTTCGTAGATCTGACCCTTTCCTTCAAGGGGCTTGTTGTCTCCCCTCCGTAGGGGGAGTTTCTGTTCCTGAAGGACTGGGATGCACTGTAATGAATGGAAAAATACCTCCTGGCTTGTGCCCGAGACTATGGACATTTCATGTCAAGAGTGTTTCTCAAATTGCAGGCCACATGTGGGGTCTTTACACATATGCTTCTGGGTCTTAGAAGACTAAAGATCTTTGTTTTCATTTTGGTGAAACAGAAAACAAATTTAATTTGAGCACATTTGGAATCACCTGGATGACTTTTCCATTACAGATTTGGCTACATGGTTTCAGACCCTGTCCTTGAGTTTAGGATGGTACAGATCTCACAGCACTATGTTCCCAGTCTCGGCTGATGTGGGAAGGCAGAGCTACAGGCTTAATGTATGGGTAAATGTGTGAATTGGAAGTGGCTGACAACACAGAGTGTTGGATTGCCTGTGGACTCGATAGAAAGAGATGGGAGATTGGATGTTAATCGTGGAAGTGTGCTCCAGAGAGCCACATGCAAGCTGCCTGTGCCATATGG